CACTGGTAGGTCTGTGCACTCACAGACATTTGATTACGCACAAGCGGCTGCACAATTCATGTTCATCTTCATAATTTAAGTGCGAGTTACATGTATGGATCTGTGTGACCTCCGATTGTATAGTGCGGATTGTCTGTTCAGCTTGTTAAATACTAATTAAAGCAAATGATATGCAATTTAATTGAGTAGGTCATTATTATTTTAAAAAGTGACAGGTAAAAATAGAATATGACAGATTTGTTTTTATCTGGTAAAATGATGGACAAGAGAAAAGTTTAGGATAACCTCTGGTGGGTTTGAGCCTTACTAGAGGCACGAAACTCTGAAAATTTGAGTTTCTTCCTAGGCATGAGTAACAACATCTGGCAACGGTACACTTTAATCCTGGTTGGTTCACTTAAAGCTAGAGATGCTCCGATCTCATATTCATATTGATCACGATATTGATAAAAACTCTAGACTGGGTATCAGTGACCGTGTGTAACAGCAGATCTATTCAGTCAAATTCTATGCTGTGTTCTGAGCAGCATCATGTTTTGTTTTTTATTTTGCATTATATTCAGAATTCCTAATTGAACTTTCTGAACCATAGTGGAGGAAGGTTTGTTGCAGTTTATTTTTACATGTTGGACCAAGTTGTTTTTGTCACTTTCAGTTTTATTTGTTTCTTATTTTACGTTTGCTGTTCAACCCATAAGTGTGCTGACTGAACAAATTAAAGTTTTTACATGTTTGACCAAGCTTGTGAAGCTACTGGTGTATTTCAGTGAGCTGCAAAGTTATCAAATAAATTTGTAATTCAGAACATTTATGTCTGTGTTTTAAAAAAAGAAACATTTTGAAGTCAATTCAACGCTGTGTTTCTGCATTGGATTGGCATCATCCGATACTAAACCTCAGATATCGGTATCGGAAGTAAAAAAAAATTGGATCGGTGCATCCCTACTTCAAACCAACAGATGGAAATACGCCGAATTTGCTTTTTTTTTGCGATATTTTAAAAATGTGCTGTCTTTTAAGATTTTCCATCTTTGTTGTCTGTAACAAGCCGGTGTCTGTCTCTTCCTCAGGAACCCGTGCTCTTCTCGGGGACTCTGCGGATGAACCTGGATCCGTTTGAGAAGTACAGCGACGACGACGTGTGGAAAGCCCTGGAGCACTCGCACCTCCACAAGTTCGTCAGCAACCAGCCGGCAAAGCTGGAGCTGGAGTGTTCGGAGGGAGGAGAGAACCTCAGGTGCACTCAGCAGACTAAAAAGGAGCCGCTGAACAGATGCGTATCTGGTTCTTGTTACTGAACGTCTGCTGGTCTTTGATCTGCAGCGTGGGCCAGAGGCAGCTGGTGTGTCTAGCTCGAGCTCTGCTGAGGAAAACCAGGATCCTCGTCCTGGACGAAGCGACGGCGGCCATCGATCTGGAGACGGACGACCTCATCCAGTCCACCATCCGCACTCAGTTCGAAGACTGCACCGTCTTCACCATCGCACACAGACTGAACACTATTATGGACTACACAAGGTCAGAAAAGGGCAGATTTTTTTCCCCACATCTTCTCACCACCTTGAATGTATTTTATTGTGATTTAATATAAAACCAAACGTTTTCAAAAAGTTTCACTAGTACAAATATGAAAAGTGTGGTGTGCATTTGCATTTAGCCCCCTATTACTCTGATACAAAAGCAGTTTTTAGATTGTCAGATTATTAAATCCATCTTCCACTTGACAATCACTGATTTGTGTTAGGGCTGGGCGATACGGCTTAAACATAAAATCAGATTTTTTCATACCAATTTTAATCTATTTTTCTCTCATACCTCTCTGATTAAAATAAATAAAAATTACAAATGGAGATATTTTGAAAAGCTGGTTTTTAGTTCAATCATCCTGTCTGTGAGTTTACATGATCTTAAAGCCCAAATAAATAGAAGCTGTGAAGCACGCTTGTCAAACAAGATGGCGACCATGGGCCTGTTGATGTCTGAACTACGGAAACCCAAAAAGTGCAAAAGTGAAAAAATAAATCAATATTTACCAAAAATTAAGTCTTCAAAGGCAGAATATGCAATTAATTTAACAAATATGCGATTAATTGATCAAATCGATTAATTGCCCAGCCTTGCTTCTCACAGAAAAATCACAATAAAATCCAAGACTCTCGATCAGAAAAAGACGATTTAATGAGTGACTGACGATGAAAAAACACAGAGTGAAGACACAGATCAGAGTCCCCGTCTGTTCCTAAGCTACAGTCTTTTGACGTCACGGTAAAGCGAGCGCTTTTATGGACAATGTCAACACTTTGTCACACATTAACGTGAATTATTGATCACAATAGCCTCTGTCCTCTGAATGATCCCTTAATGCCTCCGGTAATGGCCGTCGCCAACACGAGTATAAAGAAGATCAGCTGTTCGAACCCGGCTTTTATTACATCTCCCAGCTTCTGCTGCCGACATCCATCTTGGTGAATCGAGCGGAGTTCTGATCGTTGGGAACAGAGCCGGCGGACACTGTGTTCTCGTTGGGGAGCAGGAAGCAGGACTCATAATAAAAGAAACCATTGACGTTTACGGTTAAGCCTGATGGAGACTGATGTCTGCAAATCATTGTCCCTCACTGCTGTTATGCTGAGAAAGTGGCAGCTGGCAACACGGCCAACATGTGGTGGTGTCCCTGTGTTATGACTAAACGCTTTAAGGGACCAGAACAGGAACTTTTCCCACATTTTGACAAGCTATGATCACGAACCTTAGAGTATTTTATGAATGTTTTGTGTGATAGACCAACACATTTAAATCAAATAGCCGTATCACCTGCTCAGTATGCAGTCAGGTTCTCCAGAGTCCTGCTGATGACCTGATTGTTGGACTCGGATGTGTTGAAGCAGAGAAAAGTTGTAAAAGTTGCAGGACTGAACCTGGAGACCAATACAAAGTAGATGATCTCCTTGTAAAGGAGAAACATTATTATGCATAGTACAAGTCAAAATATGAATCTGTCATGCAGTTTAAGATTTCCCATTTCTAACTAAACAGAGGAAGTCCGTCTCTTCATGGTGTGTTCGTCAGGGTGTCCACGGACCCTTAAGTCTTTGTCATGGCGGGATTATTTCATCTCGTACATTCTCATGGATGTCACTTTCTGTCAACCAAAAGTTTCCCATCTTCATTGTGTTCTGTGTCTAGAGGCAATTGAGGCTAACGCTAACCGCTATTTGGTAGCAAGTCAAACTTAAGGCTTTTAAAGACCTTTTTAATGCCACCTTCAGTTAAAATTTAGACTGAACAAACAATAAATTTAGGGTAACGTGATAGATACGTGATCATTGAACTTTATCTGCTTAACCTGTCACAGTGAGCGAAGCACGGTTGACGGCATCAGTTCACTCGCTCTTTGGTTTACCTGTCGAGTAATTAGTGCAGCAACAGTTTCAGGTTTTGCCCTGTGCCTCATAGCTGCTTAAAAAAACAACAGCGGGAGTTGTTTTTTAAGAATAAAGGTGGAAAGCCACCAGCTTGGCAGTATTTCAGATATTTACAACAACAAAATGAAAACCAAATCAATAATTATCGATATCGACTGATATGAAACACTTATATCGTAATACGTTTTCCATCCATGTCGCCCAGCCCTAATCTAGGGAATGACTGACAGCTGATGGTAAATTTGCACTTACCCATACATGCAAAAAAGCTAGCTAGCTAGCGAGGGTGTATTAGTGGTTAGTAAAGTCCTGATTGAACAGCCACAGATGGTCAGTAACTTTTGTTCTCTCTCTCATTGCAGAGTGCTGGTGTTGGACAAGGGACAGATAGCAGAGTTTGATACGCCCACAAACCTCATATCAAAGAGAGGAATCTTCTACGGCATGGCTAAAGACGCAGGACTGGCACAGTAGAGGATCAGCTCAGTTCATCGCAGCCTGACTCTAGGCTTTAAACATGGCAGCCGAGCTGTTCATCACTTCGTTCTTACCTGGACTTGCTACATAACATGATTGTGTTTATGTTTTTCTTTAGGAGCACTTTCTGCTCGTTTTGAATGAAGCCTGAACTCATTTTTGCAGGCTTGGGTCAAATTGCATTTGGGGGGGAAAAGTTCTAGTTCTCATCAGAAGACATGCTTTTCTTTTCTTTTCTTTTCTTTTTTTCCTTTCTTTTCTTTTTCGGAGTGGTTGTTAACACCTGCAGCCACTCTTACAGCTGTCCTTCTGTCTCATGAACAGGAAAAAATAAAGCCATACACGCAGACGCTGCTTGACCCAAGCCTGCTCCTTCGTGCCTTCTGCCAGTGTGATAAGTGTGATAAGCCAGTGAATGTATCATATTTAAACTGGGCTCATTGCTGCAAAACAGCTAACAAGGAGGAACTTTTATTTTACTATTCAAAGAAGAAGACTGTGCCACTGTACCGTCCTCACGAGAGACAAAAAAAAATACACTTTTGTGATAAAAACCCATGTTATTTTTGTACTGTACCTTTATTTAAACTACTTGTGAGATATTTGTATCATCTAGGGATGCTTCAGTTATATGTGTGATTCTTCTGTGAACCAAATGTATAAAAACTTGAATTCTATACCACAAAAATATGAAAATAAATAATAATAATAATATTGATATGCCTTTATTAAAAACAGAACAAAAAACAACGGAAGATTAATCAGTGTGTGCTTTGTTCCTGACTTTAGCTCTACCAGATAAAAACTATGTTTGTTGATGTGGTAACATGTGGCTCACTTTATGACTAACTCTGAGAATACTAAAATGTGTTGTCACATCGTGTGAAAAGAAGGTAAAATTTTAAAATTGAGAAAAACTCCTTTTATGTATATTTTGAAAGTTTTAACACAAATTTATGTTCTGAGTGAAAAACCAGCTATAGACTTTGAAATACCTCAAGAGGATAATTGAACTGTTCAGTAAAATCATTTTAAAGTATCACAAATGGTCCTCTTCTGGGAAATTTTGAAGGAATGAAACAGAATTGAAGATTTCTGTGTCTTCTTTGGGTTGAAGTCTTTGGGTTATTTCCTTTAACAGCTTTCTTGGCTTTTTGAGATTTAACCAATGTCATTTTAAATGTGTCTGAGTGGAGACACATTTAGATTGGTTTGAAACTTTTTCACAGCACAAGTATTATTTATCTTGAATTCCTGAATCTGTGTATGCAACCTGATTTAAAACAAACAAAACAACCCGGTAGGTAGGTGCATATTGTGAGTTAAAATATTCGTAAAGAGCTGACCAAAAACATTAGCACAGTTGCTGATGGTACCTCGACCGGATGGTGCTGCTATACACTTTGAACGCCAGGTGGCGCTTAGTAAGTACATTATTTCAATCTATCAAACGTGCAAAGGCGCATAATAAACGCCAGATGGCGCTTTTACTCCAGGGATGGCGTTCTTTAAACTTTAAACCACTGCACCCGAATGTTTACATTGCACTTGGTGATGTAAGTTCAGCCAAATAAACTTATTCCAATGAGATTACGGTACGATGTCCTTGAGCTCATCTACAGGCATCGTGAAGTTTGGATTAACAGTATGGTGGAGATAAACAACAATCCTGTTAGTCTTCACATATCCAGGTGTAGCACACTTTGGTAATTACCAGCCTCCCTCTTGCAGAGAAGTTTTACTCTTTGGGATCCTGCAGTAACCCACCACCGTTGTTCTCGGTAAACATTTTTTCTAAGCTCACCCTGCTTTTCTAAGAATGTTCTCACTAGCTCCCCGAAAGGCTTGTTTTCCTCCTGCAGTCTGACTGACGGTGGCCTGTTTTGCTCCCCGTTTTAAGGCTCCTTGGACTGCTTGGTGTGTTTCAGGAAAAACAAAAAGAGAAAGATTCCAAATGAAAATCCCACACCTGAAATGACCTCTACAGCTTGTACCTGCTTTGCCATGAGACAGTGTTTGTGAAACAGATGGAAAATGTGTCATTTTTAAAACTAACCCGGGTGGGTTTTATTTTTGATAACTCCACAAGGCAGACCCAGTAAAAGAGATAGAGGTAGCAACAGTTTTAGGAAGAGCAGATCTCAGATCCCTTACGACAAGATATGCCTCTTGTTCTACTAAGAGGCAATCTGCGGTTAGGATTTATTAATATTTCCTCCAAACTTAATATTTGGAATTTTTATAAGCTCCTAACTGATGATAGCTTATAAAAACTGATTATGTACCCACCCTGTTTTTGTCCCTGATGTGCCAAAAACTGAGATGTCTTGAGGTGAATGAGAGCTCTGCTGCCAGAATCTTCTGTAATGCCCATGGCCAATTTTATCTGGAGTGGCAGAAGAGTTGGGTTCTGGGGTTCTGACTTGCCCCAGCACTTCGTACCACAGGCGCTTAACTCAGACATAAAAGCATGACTGACGAAAAAGTTTAGAAGTTTTTAGAAAACTTAATTCAGAATTTGCCAGAATGTTTCTGAATATTATGTCTGCAAATATGATCTGATTAGGATGTTCTTTCACTCTCCAGAGTTCTCCGATAAGTTACTGGAAGTCCTGGGCTTTCCCGTCACTGACATAAAAGTAAGGTCAGGCTCATTCTCTTCCTATTAGACGCTGTGATCCTGTTGGGGTGGAAAAAGTTGAGTGTTATCAGCATGTGGTAAAATATTTTGAATTATGCTACTCTACAATCTGAGCTATTCAGAGAATGTGACAAGAAGTGGGCCGTAAACAGAACCTTGAGGAACCCCACATGTGTTGTTTGTTAAATCAAATTTATGACAGGGTAGTGAAACAAAGCAATCCCAGTCTGCCATGTAGTTTGATTTGATCAGTTCTGCTATGTAGCACTGACATTTTGTAATATGACAATGAAAACACCAAAGGGCAAGTGAGAATAGCCTGTTAACCTTGACATGAAGATTTTCAAATGGTCAGAAGGACCTAGAGAAAACCCCAGACTGGCCTCATTACCATGCAAGGGCGTAGGAACGAGTCTGTCATTGGGGGGGACGCATATCGGAAACCTGACAGATCAGTAAATAGCT